CTTTGGGGGACAGAAGAAGACCCTGGCCCAGGAGGGGTGAGAGACATGGCTCTGATCCTCACTGGGCTCCCACGGCTGCAGGCAGGAAAGCTTATTCTTGTATAGAAGCAGGTGGCATGAGAATATTATGTGGTAAATCAGATAAGCTGCAATCTCGTTATGCCAACAGATGAGTGGGACAGAAAGGTTTGAGTATAGCTGTCAATACAGCACCCTGTAAGGATAATGCCTAATCAAATTAGATTAGACACCTGCAGCTCCCATCCCCACAGCTTCTTGTTTAGGAGGAAAAATAATATTCCCGTGTAGAGGGAACACAAAGCATCTTAGCAGCCTGAGCACCCTCAGCACATCCCATTCTTCTTTTTGCTTGCAAGGCAGCGTTTGCCCCTATTTGGACACAATCCCATAAATGGCCCTAGCATTACTGCTTTTCCTGGGCAGTATGTTTTGCACCACATCAGCCAGATTATTTTACTCCACAAATTTTCAGTAGTTTTCATGCTAGGACTAGGGAGAGACTGTCATGTGAGTTGTTGGGAGGGGAGGACTTTTAGTGCCTGGAATTTCACCTTGTTTTCCCACCTAAGCCTTTGGGACGGCTTAAATATTTAAGGTTTCCACCTGGAACACTGTTTCAATGACATCTACTGACATGTGACATAGCAGGGGTCTTATGCCAATTCTGCAATTTGTGTTTAAAGCTATTGAAAAAAAGTTTGTGCAACCACACGTGTTCAGATGTTATTATGCTGTGTGACAGTCTAGTGCAAGTTTCCTAAAATAGCAGCCTCATCCTCCTCCAAAATCCTCCATTGTCTGCCTAAGGCCATTCAAAGAACATTATCCTATTGCAAGCTTAGACTGTATCTACTTCAGTTATCATTGTTATGCCAGCAGTGGCTGTCATGGTGTCGCTTGAATATCCCTGAAAGCCCAGGGAACACTTATATCTCTGTGAGTCTTTTAATTCTGAGTACATCAGCCCACTAAAGGGTTTCTCTGGCCCTGCTGGCTCCATTTGCAAAGGTAATTTGGATTTCCACCTGCCATTCCTGCATGGTTTCAATTGCATGGCAATCACATGGCCCTGGTTTGCCTCAAGAAATGCTGCCTCAGTTTCTCCACTTCTGCAGCTGTGAACATCTGTACATTTGGACCTTCATTCTTCTTCCTTGTTAAGAGGAAATTTTATTGCTAAATTTCAAACCCTGACTGCAGAAGCAGGAATCTTGGATCTTTCATATTTGGAGCCTGGAGTATCATGGTCAGACACTTTTTCTTCCGAATATTTTGAAACAAAAGCACTTACCTTGAAATGAACATAAACTTTCACACCAAATGAAGCATGAATATCTGGAAGGTTTGGATCCAAAAGAGTGCCAGTTTTGATTCAATATGAATAGTTCAGGCTTTTGCAATTTTTCAGCTCCCAAATCACAGCTGAAAAGCACTTACAACAATTTTCATAACCCTTAGTGCACCCACAAAACCTTTTTTTCTGTCAGGAAAACACCACATCTTACCAAGTTCAAAGGACCTTCTGTTCACATGCAGGGCATCCTGAGTACATCCTCTAACTGCATTGCTCTGTCCTGTGATATCCACTTCATATCATTCCTGGACATTTTGATCATTCCTATGTTTCCTGCACTTTTAAACATTTCTGATAATTGGCTATTTCTCTCCTTCCACAAATCTGACCCGGAGGATCATAAAAACTGCCAGGCAACAATATGCTGGACTGTAAGAAGAGCTAAACTTCACTTCAGGCTTTCTTCAAAGACCTGGTGAGAGAAAACTTCATTCCTTTGGGATACCAGAATCCAAAATGTGTTAGTCTCCTTGAAAGACATTTAATTGGTTTTACTTCAACCCTTTTCCTCCCTGCCACTGTGGGATGAAACAAGGCTTGTATTTCACCACGTACTGGAAAGGCCCAGATTGCTACTGGAGGAGAGACATTGAAAGGCAGAAGACAGCCTCCAGCTTTCCTTGTGTTAGTCATAAATAAAATTACTCCCTTCTGGGAGGTTTACACAGCTGCAAATGAGTTTTTACTGGTGTACAAGCAATGGTTTCCTTACATATAAGTGGTCTGACAGGCCATAGGTAGGAAGGCTGGACACACAGAAAAATGTGTTTCCCTCCAGCTCTAAGAAATTGTTTGTCTATATCAATTCCAGCTGGCTGGTGTGCATCTCTTCTGACTAGAAATGCTTCCTGGGAAAAAGGATGACACCCCTGTTTCTAAAGGTTACTCAGATAAGGTGGGAGCAATGTCTTCCCACTGTTTTGGAAGGCTTTTATTTGCAGGTCTAAAATCTACTGTCCCATACGATCATGGAGAACCAACTGTTCCTTTTTTCTTGGCCACAGCCTTTTATACAATGGGGAACTGTTTGGTTAGAAAAGAGAAGACTCAAAAAGAGACATGAGAACCTCAGTCTTTCCTCAAAGGTCAGATTTTCCCAGTGTATTCCAGGTGAGACATCTGTTTAGAACAACATGGCATAATCTGTTATGCAAGAGAAGCTTCATCCTAATGGATGTGCAGCTCCTCCTGCCTGGCAGTCCTGACAGATTGTGCAGCCTTTGTAAAGCTGAGGTAGTGGCCTATCCCCACGAATTCTCCAGGTGACTGCTCTCCACGTAAGCAGGACTTTCCATGCCTCCTTGGTGAATTCCAGTCCTCTTGTCCTGAACACAGCTGCAGCAGTTCTAAGATGGTGCTCAAACACATTTACAGACACCTGACTGTGGCTTACTCACTGGCTTAATATTTTTACATCCATCAGTGGAAATATGGACATGCTCTACATCTGTTAAAGCCTCCACAGAGAATCCTATTCAAGAAATTATAGATTTCATTAATGAGCTACTAAAACAAAGTATTCATCTTTCAAATACATTTGCCAACACCTTCTCACTATCTCATCTAAGCCCTCACTGTAAGACACAAAATATCTTTTGTGCTATTTCCTTATCAGTCAAGAGTTGTGAAAGCCATTACTTTCCTTCTGTCCAGACATTTCTGACTCTGCCACAGAGGAAACTATGCTGTATTACACAGTTTGCTCTTGACAAAGTCACACTGGCTGTTGTTTGTCTCTTCTAGTTATGTAGATAAATGGGTTTGTTTCTGTATTTTCTTAGAAACCAAACTTTTAAAATTATCTATAGTAGAATTTTCCAGTTCTTTCTTTTTTCCTGTTTTGCTGAAAGGATCTTTACATCAACTTTTTCCTAGACTTTCAAAACCTCAGAAGATCCTCCATTAGTTGTCAGAAAAAGTAATTAAGAGTTTAGAGGTTACTTTACACAACCCTCTAGAAACTTCATTTCTTCAGTACTTTTCTTGATATTCTTGCTCTTCCCTATATGATAAACAGAAAATATTCCTTGTTTTTCATGTTCCTAATTTAACCTCATGTTTGATCTTGAGTTTTCGGACATTCAATTTTTACTTGTTCATGGTATTTTTATGCACATCTTCAATAATTTCACCACACTTACACATTTTCTGCCAGTTTTTCTCTTGTTTATGATTAACAGGGACACATAATTTACAAAATGGCCTGTTTTTTCCAGTTTGAAACTTTCATTTAATGGTCTCCCTCACCTGAGCTGTCTTCCACCTTCATTTCTCCACTAGTTCTAGCTGTTGCCTCCAGTCAAAATCAAAGAAAATTGCCTCTTGCTCTTTCTGCCACTCTTTCTACACAGAAAACTGCTGCAACATGTGAAACTTTGCTGAACAGCCTCAACCTGAATCACTGCCATCCCTACTAAAATTCCCTGTTTCCACCAAGCCTTCTGCTTGGGACAATCCTCACAAAAAAAAATCTCCATGCACCCCATTCTGGAGGCCTGGAGCATCCTCCCGCCGTGCCACACCTGAGAAGGTCCTTGTTCCTCTGATGGAACATCATTGTGGAAGGCAGTGTGGCACATATCACCTCCTTCATGTGTTCTTCAGCAATAATTCTGTTTTAATATCCTGGCTGAGAATTGCCACAACAAGCCACCTTCCTCCCAGGCATCCACATTTACATTTGGGCTGGATTGAACCACTTCTGGGAGAAGTGACAATATTCATAGACATGGGCAGGCCAGGCCCTTAGACCCCCTACTCCTTCAGTCTTGCTTATTTTCCAGCAATGCAGTAGATGGGATTCACCCTTATTCTACAGTAATGAAATCTCCTGTGCACTGTTTAATTCTTCTGAAGTGTAATGGCCTCTGTAGCACTTTGCCTCCCAGCATCACACTGACCCAAACCTGCTGTTTGCAGTGTTGTGGCTTCATTGATGTGAAACAGCTCCTGTTCCTCACATCCGTAATTCTCCCCCTTTCTCCACTGATAGTGATGAGGGAAATATTTCTGCCTTCCCAGTTTGCTTGGTGTTTGTTTGCTGTTTGTTTTTCATTTTGCCTGCAGGGCCTCCCACATTTCCTCAGAGTGCTTCAATTCAGCAACCCCAAACAGAAGATCTCCAGATTCCTTCCTATGTGGATACCACTAAGAGGCATGTTTTCCTGTTGTGGCTCTTGCTAGCGAGAAACAAAGACCGTAGACCTTGCCAATTCAGTTCAAACCCTGGACTAAAGCATTCAGGATTGGTGCTTCCCTTAGAGAACAATCCTTACAGGAGCCAAGCAGTAGTACAGAGAGTCCTAAAAGAGTGGTGCCAATTCACTATTTTTATTCTGGCCACTGGGTTATTTTGTGAAGAATGGACTTCCTACTATTGCTGGAAGCTGGGAGAGCAGAAATAATAAGATGGTCACCTTGTTAGCCAAGGATTAGGCCCGAGCAGTACATATTTAATTAGACTTTAAAGAGCTTATTTCAATGTTAGGAGATGCACTCTGTCTCTGTTGCTGCTGCCTCAACAGAATCGTTTCAGTAAGTGTTCTGTTTATCAAGAGACAGGACAGTGTTTTTAGGCATTGTGAGTACCCAGTTTTTGTTTGCAGTTAGATTAAGAAGTGGAAAGTTGACTCAAAGCTCTTGTAGAGCTCATCTAATCTCTTTGGTTGAGAAGATCTGTCCTCCCACAGACTCACCTTCAGCATTATAAAGGAATACATCTTCCTGATGACAAGCTCTCTTTGCAGGGACACTTCAAACTTGGTTAATTCAGACGCAGCACCTTCTGTTACAAAAATTTAAGAGACACATGAGAAATTAGAGTGCTGCTTGCACATCTTTGGACTACTACTTACCCACGAGATCCAGGGCATTCACAATGAGCATTAGTGAAGACGACGTGGAGAAGTTTCTTGATGGCAACCCTGCTTTTGCCAAGCAGTATTTTGAGAAGAAACTAAAAACAGAGTCCTGGGATAACAATGAAAGCGAAATACTTTTTGAGTTGATCCAAGACATGCAAGAAAGCATCAACATGGAGAAAGTTGTTTTCAAGACCTTGAGAAGAATCAGGTCTCTTATCCACGCTGACCGCTGTAGTCTCTTCATGTACAGGCAGAGAAATGGCACTCCTGAACTGGCAACAAGGCTTTTTAACATCCAGGAAGGAAGTACTCTGGAGGAATGCCTGGTCGCCCCAGACTGCGAGATTGTCTATCCACTGGACATAGGCATTGTGGGCCATGTTGCTCAGACCAAGAAAACCATGAACATCAAGGATGTCCGTGAGGTATGTTTGCCATTTATTTATTATCTAGGTAGAAGAGAGGCTCACAGGGGTCAAGAGGCAGTGCTTGGTCAAAGCCCTTGTGGTGTAGTGGCTGTGTATTCGAAATAAGTAACAAGTCTGAAAGTTCCTTCCCATTTCATTTATGGGGTGAGGTGAAACTAAGCACATTTATTACACTAGATCTTAATGCCTGCAAACAGTGCACTGCTACACCTTGCCTGTCTAACTAAAAAAAAAAAAATCACATCTAGTCCAGCAGAGGAGAGTGAAGTAGGCAGATCTGCACTGAATGCACGTGGAATTTTCCACACAATTTTATATTCTATAAATAAATGGCAAAGACGCAAAGACATAGAAATTCTTTACAGTGAGTCCAAAGAGGGTTTTCCACGACAAAAGAACTTTGGAAATGTTTGCTGTGATGAAGGTTTAGCTAAGGGCATTTAGAGGCATGATTATCTGACAGAGGGAGTGGACCCGAGAGCAGGGACATTAACTGCAAGATGTGTATGGATGATCTTCATCAGAAGCAATCTTTGACTGAAAAAACTCTTTCAGCAAAAATTGCAATCTGCAATTTCAGGAGGGACCTGAGGGATTTTAATGTTTTATGTTTATGCCTTCATGACAGTATTTACTCCCCGTACTTCTGGTTCAGTCATGTAAACCTGGATGGCAGGAATAACAATCTGCTTGTTCTAATAATAGGTATAAAACTAAAATCCATGTGACCCAAATATGGCATTTGGGATTACTCCATCTATTGTTTGCTAGTTACAAAGAGACCATCTGTTTATTCATTCATTTGTTGCTCAGTGCAGGCATATCTCAACCCTTCAGCAAATCTTTCCTTCTTTTCCACAGAACACTGAAGACCCTGTTTTGGTTCTGCAGCTTGGGTTCTTTTTTTCTGGGCACATTGTTGGTGTTCGGGGAAGCATCAGAATGTGACTTAAATTTTAAAGTTTTTTGGTTTCTGTTGTTTCTCAAAATACAGGGGAGGATTTCAGATCTGTGAGATAAGTGCTGCACTCCAATTCTAGTGCTTTTAGACATTGCCATAATACAAGTCCTTTAAAGAAGACCCAGAGACTAAATGCTTGGTCTAGCCTGTTTGGCAGAAAAGCCCAGCAATGGGGAAGGTATGGGGAGAAGACTAATTAGGGAGTGATCATTCTTTCTGGTGCAGCCTTCTGAATATGATCAGAGTTGTGTGGCTTTTCCTAACCCAAACAGAACGACTTAGAGATGCCGATTTATTCACTTGGAGAGTATCTTTGGTCAGCAGGACCATCCCTGCACTCTCCCATGGCAGGTGATGATGGTATCAATAAGGCCCTGTGCAGGTGAAGTGATTGGCCATCTGCTTTCCCTGGACTATTCTTTCTCCAGTTTTTAAGAGAAACTATGGGTAGATGCTGCAAGCTGACGACACACTTCATGGTAACAGCAGCAGAAAAATGAGGGTGTGTGAACTTGCCAGTGACTGAACCGGTTTATACTCCGCTGCTATGCAGTGCTACTTGGCTCTACCCACTCTGCAGTGCTAACAAGAAGTTAGAGGAAAGGATGGAGGAGGCACCAATGCAGAATACCATTGATCTGAGAATAACCAGTGGAGAGCCGCCTTGTTCTGAGAGAGTTTGGCACGTTAAAGCTTATGATTGGCAAGATCTTCACAGAAAGTGAAAAGCCTTCTGCTCCTGATGTTAGCTTAATCATCTCTACATGGTCCAATTTTCTGCTAACTCATTTATTTCCCTTAGTAATTTTTAAGCAAAATTTCTTTAGGCAGCTTACTTTAATGGGATGTACTTGGACTTGGTTTCAAAACACGTTGTGAAAAATGCTTATTTGTAAATTCTCTATTGAACAGTGTGCCCAGTTCAGCCCATTTGTTGATGAGCTCACCGACTACACTACAAAAAATATCCTTGCAACACCCATCTTGAATGGCAAAGATTTGGTTGCTGTCATTGTGGCTATAAATAAGCTGAATGGCCCACACTTCACCAGCTCTGATGAAACAGTAAGTGGTCAGTAGCTGAATTCCTATCAAAGAGCTTTACTTTTGTCTTGTAACAGAGATCCTTTTACTCTAGTGATGCCTGCTTTAGTGAAGATCCACTGGTGTGAGTTTCCCTTAAGAGCACTCACACTCTCATTGAAGAGGCTTATAATGGGGGTGTTTATCTCAGATCTTTCAGGGGAGGTACAGTGGGATAAGCCTCATATCATGACAGTGCAAAGCAAAGCGTTTATCCAGGGAAATTAACTCGATGCTTGTAAATACAAGCATGTTATGAAATACAGTACACATGTAGTTGCTTCTGCATTCAATTCAATCTCACAATTTGCCTTTTCAGCTTTTTCTGAAGTACCTGAATTTTGCATCCTTGAACTTGAAAATTTATCACTTGAGTTATCTTCACAACTGTGAGACTCGAAGAGGCCAGGTAAGCATGAAAATGCAAATTGGCTATCTCAAAATCAAATTAATACATTCTTCTTTAAAGAGTGAATCTGATCTTCTTCAGAGATTTGTCCCTGCAGAGCAGAAATAAAAGATGTCCACAATTGCTTTCAGATACTGCTTCTTTCCCAGAGTCCTTCATTACTCTCTCTTCTGCTTTTGGCAAAACTGCAAGACCTGATGTGGTGGCACCACAGGACTGACCTCTGGGTGTTTTGTTGACTTGAGGCTGTGAAGAACTCTTGGATCATTTCATCATTTCAGATAGCAGCACCAAGAAATTTTCTGAAACACTTAAGAATGTGGTATTTTCCCCCTATCTGTTCATTAAAAGTGTTACTGAATTTCCTCTTGGAGCCAGTGAAATTGCTGTCACACACATGTTTTATTGGCCTCCATCAGTAGAAAAGAGCATATATTAGGGGTTTAGGATATTCTGGATTGAAATTCTGGCACCATACTTTCCCTTTAGTTGGGTTACAGTAGGAATCTCAGATTTATTGGGATGGATGTGAATCCTTGGGATCACTTTGTGCAGCAGGCAATAGTTGCCACTCAGGAGGATGGAATTGCATCTGTGCTTCATGGCAGCCACACTCTGTTCTCCAATGGGATTGCCATGGAGAATAAATGCCTATCTTGGAAAAATGGATGCAGAATGAAAGTTTATTTTAGAGCTTTGGGATGGCACTTATACTTTCTAGTTAATTTATTATGCTTTGCCTATTTTTTTCATTTATCAAAAACATGAATGATGGTCCAGCAATACCAGCAATGATAAATAGTTAACTAAAGTAGAACTAACAAAGGTTTTTTTGCCTAGTGCTTCCACCAGGAGTGGACTCAGGAGTCCTGTATTCATGTATTGCTGCTGTCTGAGCAGGTCCCACACAAAGGGAGGAAAGCAAGAAGGAGATGCAGGACATGCTGCTCTAGTTCTGCCAACAGCTCACTTGTCAAACCTCTGACTAATATATGTCTTTAGGGCTGTGTGAAAGTTAATATAGTTCATTGTGTTAGAATTTGAAGTACAGAAGTACAGAGTCAGCAAATGACATTCTCAAAAGTGGTCTAGGATTTTAATATTGCAAATCCCAACAGCAAAGACTATGGGTAAAATGGCTTGTGCAAAGACAGGTCAGTCTGTTTGTGCTCAGATACTGTGTAAAAGTCTTATTAGAATATAATAAATATATATAATACATTTTTACCAACTTCCTTACATCATTTCTTGACTTAGATATATTTCATCTGTTTCTCTCAGTCCTTCTCATCAGACTTGTGGCTTTCAGTTCTTATTGCATGCTGTAAAATGCCAAGAAGTTAAACTGCTGCTCATTTCATCTAATGGTTTGTATGACAACACCACTATCCTATTTGAGGCATGCTGACACTGAACAACTCATACAAATGGCAGAGTTGTCCCAGTTTATGGGTTAGAAACAGAGACCAGTGCAGCTCAGAATTGCTCAAAAACATCTACTAGTGCCCGGTGAAGAGGTGAGACACAGTTTTTCCAGTTGTGGCCATGTAACAGTATTTGTTGTTCAAAGCACAGGTCCAGTCTGCTTCGAGTTGCAGCTTCAGTGCTTCAGAAGCAGGGTCCTCATATGTCCTGGGCTCAGAAAGCCAAATACACACCTGGGATTCAGGCACACGTGCATTAACTAAGCTAAGCAAGAGTGTAGGTGACTTCTTTACCAATTCAGAGCAGTATTTGTGTAACCTCTGCTTTTACAAATGAAAGAGGCTAATAGCAACAGCTTTCTTAAAGGTACACCTGTAGAATGTACCAGAAGAGGGGGAGAAGTATCATAGGCTGACGCACGCACGAACCAGCTGCTAAAACACTTTGAGGAAAGTGTGAACTCAGATATTTCAAAGAGTAGCCTCTGGAATTTGCAATGCCTTTGGTGTTAACTGGTTTTGGTTGTAACGTTTTACTAATGCCTATTAGTAAATTTAAGTGAGGCCAGTTCTTTGCCTGACACTACTACTTTTTTTGTGTATATTGGTAACATTTGACTCCTATGTAACGCTGTGATGATCTGACTTTTTCTCCCTAGTAATTCCCAGTGTGAACAAGCAGTGTAGGTTCCCTGCACTTCTGAGGAACTATAACCCAACATTTGGGAAGTCCATCTCTCCGAGAAAGGCTGTGCTTACAGTTTGGTTTTATCCTGCAGGTGCTGTTGTGGTCAGCCAATAAGGTCTTTGAGGAACTGACAGACATTGAGAGGCAGTTCCACAAGGCTTTTTATACAGTGAGGGCATACCTGAACTGTGACCGATACTCAGTCGGTCTCCTGGACATGACGAAGCAGAAGGTGAGTGCTCACATGTGCGCTGTGCATCTTTCTGCTTGCTGCTATCCACTGAGGGGTGATGCATGCAGATAAGACTTACTGAGGCAGTAAAAGTGCAAGCTAACCCTCAGCCACTATTCCTACTTTGCTTGGCATTTTTTTACTGTGTAAAGGTTAAGATAATTGGGTTAATGAAATCAGAGGAAAGGGGAAGAACTTATCACTGAAATGGGACTGTTGGAGGCTGGGAAGACAGAGGAAGGGAAGGGGGGTCTGACTTTGGCAATCCTGGTCAAAGTCTGCAGCACAAACAAAACCTGACAAAGTCTGTGGGTATTGGAAGTATAGCGAAACACCTATGGAACCATCAGCTAACAACTTGTCTGGAGTGTCTCTGAGATCTGGAGAAATATGAGGTTTCCATATTAATAGAGAAAAGAGGCCATATCACAAAGTGACTTGTGGCAAACAGCCACCTTCCTCAAGGACTCATCCGTGCTCATGATATCCAGGCTTTCAGATGAAATTTGGCTTTGTGAAAACAAGCTGACAGAATCAAAGTTGCCTCAGATTTGGTCTGATAGTTTGGCAAACTTTATGTGGGGGTTACACAGCATCCTTGCCAGTGGAGCCCTCTTTGTCCCATGGCCAGGCTGACTGTCTTGTTGACAGAGCTCTTGCAGCATATTGTGTTGTAAAGAAGTATATTAAAATATCATTAGTGTAAGCTAAAGACACTTTGATCCACATTATAATGTAGCATAAGAAAAAAGAGCAAAAGAAGCATTTTGCTTCTTCAAATCTGGCAAGTAGTAGGTCAGGCAATAGCCACACTTTGGAAAATCAAGAACACAAAAACATTGTCACAGTTGTTTGCTCTGAGTACAGCCAGTGCTCACTGTTAACTGAATGAACCAGCACTCTGTGTATAGGCAGTATATGGTAACATGCAGCCATATAAAAGCACCTGACATGCCCAGATTTGTATATCTGGGTATCATTCTGACGTCTAGTATTGAATTAGTTTCATTATTTCACGCCTTGTTTACACAACACCAAAACCAGCATGGTGGAGCAATGGCTACATTGAGGCTTGAGACAGAATGCACTTTTCTACTCTAAACATTCTTTTTAAATTTTAAAACCAGGAGTTTTTTGACCTGTGGCCAGTCCTCCTGGGAGAAGTACCTCCCTACTCAGGACCTCGAACCCCGGATGGCAGAGTACGTGAAAACAAGATTTCTTTAACTTTCCCCTCTCTGGATGGATTGGCTCACCACTCATTTTAACATCGCTCTTTTTTTTCACTTGTAGGAAATAGTCTTTTACAAGGTCATTGATTACATATTACATGGAAAAGAAGACATTAAAGTTATCCCGTAAGTGCCCAGTCTCTGAATGTAGGTACTGACACAGGGTGTAGCTAAAAACAAGGTTCCCAATGTTTTAAAGACATCCATGTGTAGAAACGTAAAGGACTGATAGAGAATTGAGAGTCAGAATGTAAGTTGGCGCTTCAACTCACATTTCTGTGGGATAAAGATTTCCTCAAGGGCATTGGGATCCTGACTTGGAAGTCAGGCTCCAAAATTCATTCAACCAGTGATGTTTTTCAGATGGAGAAGTGAGCTGCCTTGATTGTTTGCAGTTTTCTGCTGTCCTTGCCAGGCAGAGACATCACTCTCCTTCGTGCCTTCCCTGTGTCAGTGGCTGAGCCTCATCCAGGATGCTCTTGTGCTGAGGTTTCCTTGCTTTTCTCCACTCTTTCTATCACTGACCCCATCTTAAGGCTACCTCTGGCCTTTTCTTCCATCCTGGCACATTGGAACTCTAAGAAGTGCCCTCTCTTCTTGCCATTGAATTTTTCAGAGGAGCCTTGGGCAGCATTGGCAAATCTGACATAAGGGACATGTCCTCCAGTTCTGGTAACACTGCTTTACACTAGAGTATGTGCTGCAAAAAAAGTCCCCATTTCTTGGGTAATGCAGTGTTCAAAGGTCAGGCTGGCAGACATCCTCAGCCAGGAATCTCTTCTTATCCTTCTCTGTCTTGAAGGTTTGAGACATGGCCTTCACTCCTAGGAATGAATTTTTATATATTGCAACCTGATATTTTATCAGTTATTTTGAATGCTTGAAGGGGAAAGTATTTACTTATGTGGAAAATTTTTTCTTGTGCACATGTATCTTTTGAAAGTAACAGAACCATTTATGGACTGGGGGTTCCAGGTCTAAACCTGGATTATACAATCAGCTGAACACACTTCAGCTCCATGATCTTTTTTTGCACTAAACATATACCTTTAATTTCCCTTATACATTTTTCTTTTGTTAGAAATCCTACCCCGGATCACTGGGCACTAGTTACTGGACTACCAGCCTATGTGGCTGAAAGTGGATTTGTAAGTACTTACCCTGGGGTTCCTCAAGTCTTTCTGAGATGAATAATACTCATTCTGCTTTCTCAGCAATTCAGTCCTTTGTTTTGGCACTTAAACTTCTCATTGACCATACTGTAATAATTTTTCTTCTGTGTGATCCCCTAGATTTGCAACATTATGAATGCTGCAGCAGATGAGATGTTTAACTTTCAGGTATCGTGAAAACTTCCCATTCTAGCAAGGATGCAACTTTATTTTTTATTTTATTTTTTGCAGAAATGTAATGTAGAGTCAATATTATGCATATAAATACTTCTTTTGCCTGTAGTTTGAATGTAAAACCAGAGTGCTCATGTATTTACATGACCATAATATTAAAACATACTAAGTTCATGATGTCTTTCTGCTTGCTGTTGCTTCAAGGAAGGTCCTCTAGATGAATCAGGATGGACTATCAAAAACGTTCTCTCCATGCCAATAGTGAATAAAAGAGAAGAAATTGTTGGTGTTGTCACATTTTATAACAGAAAAGATGGGAAACCATTTGATGAACAGGATGAAACCCTCATGGAGGTATAGTTTCTTGCTGGAAGAAATTCATATAGTTGAACAGGTCACTGTTGTTCCGTGTACACTTGCAAAGCATTCAGAGTATTTTGCAGCTAAGTAGGTATCTTTGCTGCTTAGAGTGGTGTTATACATCAGCTTGAAAATTTTGAAAGCAACTGTTTGGAATACTGGGGGAGTTTGGTATGAGAAACCCAACTATGTTATTGTGATTTTTTTTTCCCAGCATTCTTGGACTGTAAAGCCAGCCATGAGCAGCTACTGTACCTGTATTCACATACCTGCCAGCTGGTTCTCACTGGCTGAGCAAGTCCCACAAAAAATGACATAGAAATTATCTATGTAGCTAGGATAAAAAAGTAGGCCAGCTATTAAATTCACCAGCAGTGGCTGTGATTAAAGGCCTTGCTCCTTAGAAATGTTCCTATGCTGGTTTCAATGAAATATAAGTATTTAGCTCTTGACACTTGTTATCAATCAGGACACTTGCTGAATCAGACTTTTCTTATCAAACAAAAAAGACCATGGAGAAAAAAATCAGTTTGAATTGGCCACTGGACAGCAAACAAGCTGAAAGCAAGCACAGGACGTGAGTAAATACATGTGAAAGGTGATGAGACCACCCTGCTCTCCTTTGATGTGAGAGCTCCTGATCTGTGGTCACCATTGTGACAGAAAGCTTTCCACAGGTGTGGAGACACCTGCAGAAACACAGAATTAATTTTCTGACCAGGACAGAGGGTGCTTCAACCTCCACAGAATCTGTGCTCTCAAAGCCTGGGCAGATTCAGCAGCAGGGGAGCTGCTTTGCTGAGGAGCAAGTCACAGTTGGGAGCAAAGATGTGGTTGCTCATTGCTAGAATTTTGGACAAAGTCGAGCTTGTGTTTCTTTAAAAATGTATCATACAGCGTCATATTTCTGTGTCTTTGAGGAGCAGATGTTATGGCTATTTCTCTGTTTCCTTCTCTTCCCCTTACCAAGTCCTTGACACAGTTCCTGGGTTGGTCTGTGCTCAACACAGATACATACGATAAGATGAACAAGTTGGAGAACCGTAAGGACATTGCTCAGGACATGGTGCTCTACCACGTGAAATGTGACAAGGATGAAATCCAGGAAATTCTGGTAATGCCTCACAGTGTGGAGCTCACACCCACGTGTACTGGCCTGGCCCATGACGTATGGCACAGACACAGCTCTCCCATTTCACAGAGGTGCTTACAGCCACTGTGAGGGGTGGCAGCACACGGCCCTGGTAACTGCACAGGGGCAGGACAAGTCTTTCTTTTGGTTCTGTGATCTGCCCTCCCCATTGGCACCCCGCATCACTGTGTTCTTTCTAACTTCCTCAACAAAGCCAGCCCTGGAGGTGCTACTCAGGGCAGGGCTGTAGGAGTGGAACAGAAACTGATTTATTCCTCAAAACTTCCTTTGTGCTGAGGACGTCAAGTTAGAGGAGCCAGCTGAGACAATGGCTCTAGGGAGACATTTGTAAGTGAGGGAAACACAAAACAAAATGTAGGAGGGGGAGAGCACTGCCAGGAAAAATATGTTGAAAGACAAAAAATTGAAGTAAGGTCCAGGAAAGATGCACTATTTACATATGAGAGCTGCTCTAGATTGCCCCAAAACGGGCCAGTGAAAACTCCAGAGGGGTTCAGGTGTTTCATTAACACACTCATGCTTTTTGCAGCCAACACGAGAAAAGCTGGGGAAGGAGCCAAGTGAGTGTGACGAAGAGGAACTGGCAAGCATTCTGGTAAGAACAATGCAGTGCTGGAGAGAAAAGCCCTGGCAAGCAAATATTGCCTGCATAGATGTAGGGGAGAGTTCCCAGTGTTGGCATGCTGTTAACCTGGAGAGGGTGAAGGCAAAGCATACCCTGCCCTCCTTTGCTGCCTGAGGTTGAGACTATCATTATTATGTGTCAACACGTGCCTTCCACGGCTCCTGGGGAGTCTCTGCTCTCTGCCTTTTTATCTCAAGGCCTTCAAAGTCCATCTGGAAACACAGCAGCCACTTTGGCTTGTTTTGTCAGAGTAATTAAGGGGGGCTGTAAGTCTTACCCCATTTTGAGCCTTCAAACTATATAAAATCAAATACAGGAAACAAACAATATTTCCTGCACAAAACTGCCCCCCAGTTCCTCCAGTAATGAGATTATAATGAAAAGCTTCATTTCAGTGTATTTATGCTCTACATTCTAAAAGAAAAGCAGCATCAGACTGATACATTTTTATTCAGCAAAGCTCAGGAATGACATAAGCAGCACAGCAATAAACCAACTCACCTCTCTTACAGAAAGAAGAACTGCCGGGGCCCACGAAGTTTGAAATCTATGAGTTCAGGTTCTCTGATTTTGACTGCACTGAGCTAGAGCTGGTGAAGTGTGGCATTCAGATGTACTACGAGCTTGGCGTGGTGAAAAAGTTCCAGATCCCACAGGAGGTATGAGCTGGCAAAAGCTAGGATCTCCTGTCTAGGATGGACAGCAGGCTCACCCACACTGCAGCTGGCACCGAGGTCCCTGTGCGTGCCCAGCACAGCTCACGGGACCTTGCAGGGAGGGGGTCGTGTGTCCTGAGCCCCACTGAGGGCAGGGAACAGTCCCTCGTGTGGGATTGGAGCATAATTTCTGCTGTCTTCTGCTCCTCACTACCTGCCACAGATGTGGGTTTGCCATGAGGTCTGTAAGGATGAGTGGTGGACTCTGCAAAATGTTTCTTGCACGTTTTGTATCCAATGCCTCTCACAGCTGCAGGGTAAAAACAGTTCCCAGGCACAACACAGGGAGGGAGTGCCTACCTGCCTGCCTGTTTCCTTTGCTTTGTACATAAGCTGCATCTTTCAGCCAAGATATGCTGAAACACGCTCTGGCAAGCCCCTTTGGTTTTTATCCCTACAAAATCACGCATGTGCCTTCATTTGGCACAGTTGGCACCAACCTGTTGACAGGAATGGTGTGACCCTGTGGGGATGAGGAACCACATTTTTACCCCTATAGGAATATGTTAAATACAGGGTTTTCTCCTGTAGCCCCTCTGGTAGGGCCAAGGCTGACATATTCCCACAGCTAACGTTTTATTTCAGGCAAATTTGCCCTGCAGTCAGGAGACAGGGTTTGGGTAGGCACTGTGTAACAACCTTCCCCTGTTCAGTGAATTAAAGGGGAAATGGCACTGCATGTGACATATGGGCTCACACCCCGAGCTCTGACTTGTGAACTCACGACTTTCGCAGCTCAAAACCCTATAGACTCTCATAGCTCAAAACCCTATAGGAAACGAGTGTTTCAGCAGCTCTGCTGCTCCCAAAGGGATTTCTCTGCACATCATGTGAAGTCGATTTCCATCTAGTGGGATCTGGGGGTGACTGCAGGAAGAGTTTCCACCCTGGAAAGGCTGGATGGCAATTGGGAGGGAGTTAAATAGGAATTACCTCTGTGCATCTTATACGCAGAATGACAGTATCAAAAATATTAACTATATCTACTCCGGAACAACTAACCCCTGGAACAGTTGTGAAAAGCAGTGATTCTTATAATTGAGATTTTAAGAAATGAACACTCATTAATAAATAATTGGCTCTTTAATGAGAAAACTGCATAGCTACAAGTGGGAGTACACATGGAGAGGCAGACTGCAGAGGAAAAAACGGTTTTCTATTTAATGCCCTATATTGTAGTTCTTTAGGTGATAATAAATTTCATTCAGCTCTACGTCTATGGATCCATATCTCTTGTAGAGAGACATGAGTATTAATAAATCACAGGAAAAAGGGATAAATCTTATAAGTGACAACCTAAATAAACAGAGAAAGCAGAAAAAGTCAATAAATTCACAAACAGTAAGATGAAATCACTTTTCCTTCAGACACTGCTGATTCTTGTGTAGTCCAGAGGCATCTCTGTGATTTTAAATTTTTTACCAAAAAAAAAAAAAAAAAAAAAAAAAAAAGTCAGTATCCACTTTTCATCTCTACTAGGCTTTACTCTATCAGCCTGATGATATTACAAATTCCGATCCCTTTCTGGGCCTGTCTCTGTAGAGCTGGTTTGAGCCTCATCCATGGTTTTTGTACATGACCCTTGTTGCAAGATGAACAGGCAGCAGCTTCATCACCCACCCTAACATGCTCTTCCCACTGCAGGTTCTGGTAAGGTTTGTGTACTCTGTCAGCAAAGGCTACCGGAAGATAACTTACCACAACTGGCGTCACGGCTTCAATGTGGCACAGACCATGTTCACACTCCTGATGGTAAGGCAGCACCACCCCGGCTAATTCTGTGGCACAGCTTTTTTACAGCAGGTCTTCTGTCACACCTGAGAAATACGGAGGGCTCCCTTTGAACCCTGGTGTAGGAAAAGGTTTTGTAACTCCTAGCACAAGTCCTGCAAAACTAGATCTCCTTTTGCCTGAAGGGACAGTCATTGTATTACACTTGAAGAAAGCTTTGGTCAATATAGGCCAATAAATGGAGAGCATGAATTCTCATCGAGACAGACGTGTATGGTGTTGAATAGATCCCAGATTAAATCCTTCTGCAAAGTGGAGGAGAGAGACTACAGGACTTCTGTTCTTCCAGTAGATTCTGACAGTAAGAGCCAGACAGAAGTCAGCCGGCTGGGATGGACACAAAACCGTGCTTTCCATTTCCATCCAGAACAGACACAGGTGTGGACAATCTTTTGGGTGATTCAGCTTGACAGCCACATTGCCCAGAAAGACACAGAGACTTTTCACTGAGTGTTTTGTGTCCAGTGACTGTGAGGGTTGTTTGTGACAGCCTGGGTGAATCCTAGGGCTGAGGCTTCTATAGCAGTGGATAGCCAACCCTGCAAGTGTGCATCAAACATATAAACACTACACATGCACCTGTCTGGATCTGAAATATTTTGTTTCTAGCTGATTCCCTGTTTTAACCTAAGTCAACTGTGTGCTGCATTTCAGTTCACATATATTTTCAATTCTCCTGGACTGTCCCAGGACATCCCCAGCACAGAACAGTCACCACTCAGTACTTTTTCCTGTCAGAAATGTTAACATACGGCATATAAATTCTCTCCCACCAGACTGGCAAACTGAAGCGTTACTACACCGACCTCGAAGCCCTTGCAATGGTAACTGCAGCTCTGTGCCATGATATTGACCACAGGGGAACCAACAACCTCTACCAAATGAAGTAAGCATTTTCTTACCACTTCAAACCATTTTCTCTTGCTCCTGTTTGGAGTGGAATTAGGTTGTGGTCACACCAAACTCCAGTACAGCTATATTTAACACACAAGGGTGACAACCTTCTTTTACAAGTTGCCTTGCTTTTCAACTTGCTACAGTGTTTGGTCATACTTTGGCCAGAGGGGACAATTTGCTGTGCTGTCTGGGGCTTTCTTTACCTCCTAGCAAACCTCCCTTAGTTAAAGCAGAAGTCTATATCACAGTGTGAAACAGGTGCAGAGCAGGCACTCAGTATCTGAGCATCACAGGAGACTTAGGATGTCTACAGAATCATCCTGGACATAAGATGATGAATTTTTGATGCATCTATGGAGAAAGCACCATGCTTTGCATTGCCCTCACTACCTACAGAAACAAAGCACCTATGAGGATGCTGGTCTCAGTAGGTAGTCATTAGCTACAGATAAACAATTGCATAATTTCATTGCCTTGTCAAGGCTCTGTTACTTTAAATAGTAAAGTAGTCAGATCACAGCTCTTCTGCAGTGCTTGCTGCCTATAAATTCTTATATATCCCGGAGCTTTGGAAAAATGTTAAATAAAGTTGGCTCGTGTTTTTGATAGAAGAGGGCCTTGCTTTTCAGTAAGGTGTCCAAGGATTGCAGTGTTTTTTGTTCCTATTACTAGATATCAACATGCAGTTATTCAGCAATTAAACAGACTTACTAAGTTTAGTAATTACAATGCAGTCATAAACAGTATTTGGAGTGAAATTTTTAGTTGGAAGACTATTTTACACACTGTCTAAAGAGTTATAGGCAATGTCACAAGTCTTTTATTAGACTGAAATCATTACTTAGTAAAAAGTTCTACTCATAAGCCTTTTTCAAAAAAATGGAACTTATATGTGTGACAGAAATGAAATACAAAATTAGACACTTTTTGTCATTTTTAAGTGCTGCACTAATGTCTTCAATTTTTCCTTTATACAAACAGATCTCAAAATCCTTTAGCTAAACTTCATGGATCCTCTATTTTAGAAAGACATCACCTGGAATTCGGAAAATTCCTGCTCTCTGAGGAGGTTGGTAACGAGCTGTAGTATAAGAGCATGAATAATTTCCTTTCAGGGATGCTCTTCATTAACAACAGGGCTGTCAGCACAAGGCCTTTCTCTGGTTCGGATGCAAAGAAACTACAGCTGTCTCATTTCCAAAGGACTCTACGCTCACCCAGGACCAAAGCACATAAGCTTCCTAAATGCTTGTCTTGGTTTCTTCATTTTTATCCCTATAGGAATATGTTAAATACAGGGTTGTTCTCCTGTAGCCCCTCTGATATGGCCAAGGCTGACATATTCCCACAGCTAACTTTTTATTTCAGGTGAATTTGCCCTTCAGTCAGGAGACAGGGTTTGGGTAGGCATTGTTACCTATTCACCTTACTAAATTCACAATTAAAGGGTAAATGGCACATAGTGACGTGTGGCATATGGGCTCACACCCCTTGCCCATGAGACGAGCAAGCTGAGCTACTGAAAGATAAAAAGTGAGCACATTTGGGAAAGGGAGGTGGTCAGGAACTCATAACAACATAGAGCTTAGATTTTTTCAGTGCCTGTCCTTTGTTTTTCAGTCATTGAATATATGTCAGAACCTCAACCGCAGGCAGCATGAGCATGTGATTCACCTGATGGAAATTGCCATTATAGCAACAGACCTGGCACTCTACTTCAAGTAAGTCAGTCATGCACACCGTGTGTGAAAGGCAGAAAAGGCCAAGCGTGATGCTTTTACAAAAGGCCAAGTGTGATGCTTTGCTCTGAAAGCCCCCACCAGTGCAGCAGTTCTCTTCACAGACACTGCCTCTAGGAGGCTGCCTTTAATGCTGACTTCAGACTTGGTGTGAGAATTCAAATAATTCAAAATTATTTTGAACTTCCACTCAATTAAATCATATACATTACTTTTTAACCATCTATTGCCAACAAGGCAGGGCTGTGTGAACCCCTGTGGGAAGAAATGTCAGGATTTGGTTTGGTTTTATTTACCTAGCATTTCAGATCTGCAAATACTTGTAAAAGGCAAGTGGACTGGCCAGGACTATACTAACTTCTCTGTGAGAGCAGAATGACACAAGAGACAAGTAGTTCATCGTAGGTGAATGTTCAACTCATAATCTATTCCACAGACAAGGGCCTAAAAAGCCAAAATCTTGGAGCAGCACCCGCTTTCTGGGACATGAGGCTGAAACTCAATGACATATAACTTCCTAATTAGCATGGAGCTTTCAAAATGTGCCTCCAAAACACTGTGTCAAGACCAGAGTCTGCTTCTGTGTTTTGAACTGCAGTATCATTATAAATACTTTAAACAATCCAAAAAAGAGGAATTTGAGGGACGTTGGAATACCCAGAACACTCTGGAGATACAATATCTATATGGCACCACTTCCTCACTAGTTGGGAACAAACTGGTCCTTGCCCTCCTTGGTCCATGAACTGCAAACAAAGGCTTGGCTGAGCTAAGACACAGGATTACTGAAGATAGAACATATACACAAGTGACCGTGACTTCTGTATGTGTTCTCTATGACACTGTAACTCTTCTCTCTGCTAATACTCAGATTTCTCCAGATCTCATGCCACTTCAAACAAGAGTGTATTGTGTATAAACCATTCACCAGAATTCCCAATATACATTTAGATTATATAAATAGGATTAACAATGCCTGACTAAGTATATAAAGCCAGGCATCTTTAAAAACACTCCAGCTAGCTCTAGGTTTCTGCAGTTTGCTTAACTTTTAAGTAAAAAGATTTCTTGAACTGCATACAGAGGTGTAAGCATTTCTCAGCTGACAGAACTTGCAGTAGCTCATGCTGTCAAGGACCTGCTCATATCTCACCACTATGTTAATTTTTGATGCATTTACAATAGCTAAGGAAGCAGAAGATGGTGCTTGGTTTTGCTGGCACAACAATGTCAGGGCAACAACTGGTGGAAATCATTCTGGCAGAGTCACCAATATCAGGATTGTCCAGCTGTTTTTGACATATTTGTTTCCTTGTTTCATAGATTTTTCTTTTTTTAACCTTTTTTTTTTTTTTTCCCCAAAAGAAAGCGAACAATGTTTCAAAAGATCGTTGATGAGTCTAAGACGTACGACAGTGCGAGTGCCTGGACTGAGTACCTGTCTCTGGAGACAACAAAAAAAGAGGTTGTCATGTGAGTAGTTGGCTCTGGGGAAAGGTTAGTGATGTGCACACCTTGTGAGAGCTCCAGGATGTGCTTTATGCTGCAAAGTCAGCAAGTGGTACATTACTGGCTACTCAATTTGATATTCTGGAGAAGAAGGGAAAAAAACTCAGGGAAAAAAAAGTGCTTCTTCATCCAAGTAAGTGTCCTGTTAATCATATAGTCCCAAGGAGAAGCAGGATACCTTCTGGTCGTACACTCCTACCAGATCACCCTGTAGGCCACAAACAGGGACATCCAATCCATTAGCTGTTGTTCCTAGTGGCAACCAACCCGAGTTGCATGATGCTGCTGCTGTGGCCAGACAGAAACTTTGCAGGATGCCCTGTGCTGGTGATGAAGTGCTCTCCCCACCTCACTGCAGACTGCACTGCTACACACCTGTGGGGGAGCCAAAGGTGTCAAAGTCAAGGAGTTCAGCCCAGCAATCAGTAAAGCAGCAAACATCTTAGTACCAGAAGCAAGTATTTCCCCATCATAATTCCATTTTAATCCACAGAGCAACCTTTAATCAGTGTCCCGGTCGTAAATCCCAAGGCTGTTACAGCAACACATCTATCAATTCAGAAAGAGCCATGGGATACCTGATACAGTACTGGGGTATAAGGGTCCTGAGACAGAAAAAATAGGGAAAAAATTTAATTTCTTTCCTGTTTTTAGGGCCATGATGATGACTGCCTGTGACTTGTCAGCTATCACAAAGCCTTGGGAAGTCCAGAGTAAGGTCAGGTGCTTGATATCCTGATGGATTTCTGTAGCTTGTACTTCAAAGCAATGCAATTTCTAAGCTGCCTAGAAGCTAATTCAAAGTCTCCTACCAAAATTACAAAAAGGATTAGCTGTGGTTTTGATGTGTCAACCAATCTTTCAGATTGTAATTGTGAGCTCTGTACAAAATTCATGTTTACAAAAAAACCCAAAAAAACAAAAACAAAAACCCCAAAAAACCCCAAAAAACCCCCCCCAAAAAAAAAAAAAACAAAAAAAAAAAAACCACAAAAAACCCCAAAAACCAAGGGAAAAAACCCCCACTCAACAAAACAGTTACATACATGTTTAGGTCACAGTGAGATTTTTTACATGTAATATATGCATTGGCTTTATTATAGCAATACCTACCTGCAGTTTGCTCAGTTGTTTTATTTCCTTTACTAAAACAGTAAAGGGCAACTTTTCCTGCAAGTACAGTTTTCCTGAACTGTACTTGAGCAATTGCTAAATAATAAATGCTAAAATTTAAAGAAGAGTAAAAGAAATAAAATCTACCTTCTTGTTCAGCATGAAGAAAGGACAACAGAAAAAAAACCAAAATAGACACCCAAAAGGTGACCAGTAGGCAAATCCTTGAGGGGAATAGATTGGAAATATTTCTCAATAGATGAGCAGTGGCCAAATGAGATCCAGTGCAATATGACTGTTGAGCTGTCATTAGATAGGTGAAATCCTATTGCCACAGCTGCCCTTCACAGGAGAAGTGAGGCTATGGTTGGACAAAAGAAACAGAAGGATAAGAAGTGAAATTTGCTTCAGAATGGAGACATGAAGTGCATCAAGTTATGGGGCTAAAGTTGGTGCTAACTGCTGTTTTTCCCTCTGTGTCAATGTAGGTAGCTCTACTGGTAGCAGCTGAGTTCTGGGAGCAAGGAGATTTGGAAATAAGCGTCCTTCAGCAGCAGCCCATTGTAAGTATCATGCAAGAACCAGGCAGTTCAGTTCAGACAGCAAGTCTCAGCAGAGACTTACTACCAGCAGTGCTGCCCTGAGTGCTCTGTGTCTGCCTAAAATCACAGTGCTTGCCAAAGTCCTTTAGAAAAATAAGTTCTGAGATAGTGAAGAGCATCTTTGACAGTGACAAGTGCCTCTCGTCCAGCTGTCCATATAGTTAGATGGGTTCAGTGGCTGTGAACCATCAAGGGGTGATTCGCCCTGGAGATTTTGTGCAGGTCCCTTACAGAAAAAAATTAAAAACTAAATAGATAAGTCACAGAAGAAAGAGGAGCTCCTAATAAAGAGAAAAAGTGCGAACATAGACTTCATAGAGTCAAGGAATTATCAGTAAACGGAACGGCATTTCTAACATTTTTAATAGATGAATTTGACATTGAAAGAGGCAAGTCATTCCTTTAAGTGTCCTCCACCTGTGTAGTTTGGGGATTTTTAAAGTAGACTTTCATGCATTCCCTCTACCCACAGTGGCACCACAAATTATATAGTAATCAACAAGATCTTGTAAGAATATTATTTCTTCTTCAGTCATGTTTTAGACGATTTAAAACCTCTTCAACAATTTACAGCATGAACCTTTCCTAGTAGATGTTTGAGAGGCACGAGGGAAAACCTTCTTCTCCTCCCCACATATGGACACTTGAAATGCTGTCTAAAATTTCTGCTAAAATGGCAATGGAAATTTGAACCCTTTTCACTCCTATGCAGCTGAGGAAGAGGGCTGTGATGGACAGTCTTTAGGACAGCATGACAGAACTGACACAACAAGGGGAGAAAATAGAGGCGTGTTTTTCAATTAAGTGTTCTCATAAATCATGGTGAATTTGTGTCCTCCCACAGCCAATGATGGACCGAAGGAAAGCTGCTGAGCTTCCAAAGCTTCAAGTGGGTTTCATTGACTTTGTGTGTACATTTGTCTATAAGGTAAGCAAAGTGCACCCTTACACACCCCACCCTTATCAACAGGAGTTCAAATCCCAGCTGACTGAGTCCTGGTGCAGCAGCACCACTCCTGGGGAGAGGGACAGGTAGACAAGTGAAAATCTTGACTCTTTCTGCCATTGATGACTTCTGCAAAGCAAAAAGAGTCTGCCCTGGGGTATGATGGACAAGCATTCCCTCTGCACTGCATTGTACTAAGAGGTGTGTTTTGATTAGGAATTTTCCCGCTTCCATGAGGAAATTCAGCCTATGCTTGATGGGCTGCTGAACAACAGAAATGAGTGGAAGACCCGTGCTGATGAGTATGATGCAAAAATTAAAGCTCTGGAGGAAGAGAAGAAAAAAGAGGAAGAGAGAATGGCTGCAAAAAGAGGTCAGAAAAAGTAATTAGGTTTTCCTTCCTAACTGAAAAACGTGCTTATGGACACCCTCACAGATTACAGCAAGATTTTCTGACACAGCAGAGTAAGATTGGCTCCTCTGGCAAGGCTGAAGGCACCTTGCCTTCAAACATCATACCAGAACTGGTTGTCAAGAAGGCCACCAACTTAAAATCCCAAACACTATTATCTGAGAAACTAGTGAGAACACATTCAGCATGAATTCCCATGCAGCTGGGGAAAGCAGAATGTCATGTGCTGTCCCTGGAAAAAAGTAGGTAAACAACACTTTGGCTGATCTGCTGACCCACAGGTCATGAAGCAGAAGCTAAGAAAAGTTAAGACAAGATCCCAAAATCCTAGGAGAACATTTAAGAAATAATGGTTCATTGCATTTCTAGCCTGGATTAGGTACTACCTAGAAGCATGCAGTAGTGGCAGTAACCAGTAGCAATTTATTTTGGCTAAACATGGTTTTCTTCTTCTGTGGGCCCAGCCTGGGTAGTATTGAAAACCATTAGCGGTAGTGGGTACTGGTTGAAAATTTTTCTGATAGCCTGAGGATTTGTTTGACTCTCAAAAGGGCAGAAGTAGAAGGTTCTCCTGGCCTCTCCCAAATATCTGATCAAATATCTGCCATGGCTGGGTGCCTGCACTCCACAGAGACTGTATCTGAACTCTTCTTTTGTTCTAAACTGGACCAAAATTCCAACAGCCCATGGCGTGGACATTGCACAAATGACACAGTTTAGAAATTATTAGAGCTGTCTAAATGTTTTATCTCAGTTTGATTCACAGTAGTTAACATAAAATATCAAAAGCAAGTGTTTGAACTATGATCTAGAAAGTCTCTGAAAAATTATTTACTGTATAAGTAGCTGATACTCAAGCAAGGAAAATTTCCGCTAATTCTACAATACTCTTTCCAAGCAGCCTTACACATACAATTACTTTGCACAGCAGACAGCTCTATATAGGGTGCTATAGGTATGACCTAAACTGATCATTGGATAAAAGTTCTAAAAACCTCCTGTAATGACTGAGACGGAAATTTATGACTGTGTGTCTAATTCTATGTTTCTTTTTATATGACAGGTGAAATAACCTGTAATGGAGGAACAGCTCCAGCTTCCAGAACCTGTAGCATACTTTAAACCTGTTCTCACTGAAATACATGCCACACAAAATGAGAACACCCACATAAAAATAACAACAATCAACAACAAACAAACAAACCCAAACCCAAACAAAACCCACCCTAAAACAAACAAACAACTTCCCCCTCAACAAAACCAAACAAAAAAACTTTAAAAAAAAAAAAAAAAACATGGGGTACAAATAAATTTCTGATTGGACTATTCTGATAATTTATTAGGCTTGTGACCAACCAGGGAAGGGCTAGATCTTGTTTGCCTTAATTGTATCTCTTCCTGATGGTAGGGAGCCAGTTCTGTCCTGTCTCCTGTCCTCCATTTAATGAATCTTATGTCAGATGGCATGTGACAAGTCAGAACAATATTTAGCCCAATAAATCAGGCTGCAAGATTATAGAAGAGTATTTTTCCTGCACTGAAACACTTCTTATCCTAAAGCTGATGGGGATAGTGCTGCTCCTTACAACCTCATGAGACTGACAGTGAATGCAACCATAGCCTGCACAGTGGGAAAAAAAGAAGAAGAAATAAAGTTATCATATCTAAGTCTGTATCTGTCAGGATATCAGAAGGAAAGCTGAGGGTAAAGATAAAGCATGAAAACTGACTATAGTAAATCTTTGAACTGCTCTAAAAGATTATGGTTCCATTTAAATCCAAGAAACACTCTGACAGACAAGACATCTGCATTCACTTCAAGAATCTGGATAGGCTGCTATCCCAAATGGATAGCTATTAATATATATTCATATATATTCATATATAGTCATATATATTCATATATGGAGCTATTAATGCAACACACAGTAGCTGCCTTCTCCAGGAGCAGGATCCACACTGTGTACTAATTGAAGCTTCATTCTTTTATGCACTATTTTAAGAAGACAGTGTCATCATTTACCCATTACAGTTCCTCTTACAATTAACCAAGCAACCTGAGTTGTAAGATCTCGTAAATTTGTTCTGTTTTGCCTCATAATTCCAGTTATTTAACATAACTGATTGGAACTAACTGTCCTTCCTTTCCTCTTCCTGCTCTGAGATGTCTGGTTTTTAGATCATACTCTTTACTCATGACTCTTATTTCAAATGAAAATTACTTTTCATGTTTATTCATGTAAAAATAGAATATTTAATTACACTCTTGTAGTAGTAGACACACCCTCATGTCCTATTCCCTCTCCTCCCCCTCTTTCTTTTTTAAAATTGTTTGGAGATCTGTTTTGCTGGGGATTTTCTTCTTCTATTACTCCTGTTACCTTCAGGATTCTTACCCTTCAGTATATTGTTTCACATTACAAAAATACTGTAAGTAAAAGGAAAACTAGAGCTGTGGTGGTACCTGGTGATCATTTACCTGTCTCAGTGTAGTAAGCAAGATGTAATCCTCAATCAATATGCAGCAATTCTGTGAGAAGCAATGTGTCTTTCAGGAAAATACAGAAACTTGTCTCACCAGAGCAGAGGACCATGTGGAAAAATGCCACAAGGTTATTGTATGGCACAGTGATAGGCAGTGGGATTTTGATGATCACCACAAGACACCAGATGCTTAAATAGTGTGAAAAGCTCCCTATATTCTCAGATGTTTTCTGGGAAATAAAACCTGGAGGCTGACCTTCCTGCTCGCTGTAACCAGCATGAAGCACTCAGAGCACTGCAGGGTGTGCCAGCAGGGCTGCTCGCTCAAGGAACATGGTGTGCCTGCCCATCACACCCTGTCAGCATGCTGCCAGGTATTCCTAAAGGGATGCAGGGGTGTCCATGGACACTCAGGTGTGGGGTGCCAGCGGAGGAGGCTGTTGCTCAGGGGTGGAGCCTTTCCATGGGAGCAGTGAGTGATTCTCACTGAAGGTATTGGTCATTTAGACGCAAGTGAAATTTGCCGTAGTTCCTCCTGCGGTGGTCTTCCTTTACAGCTGGGAGCCGGCTGCTTGGATATGTTAGACATGGAGAAAGAAAAGAGCCAAAAAACAGATTTGTTCACTGTTTTACCAGGTGGGATGGACTGAACTTTGCTTGGGTGGGCTGGTTGAGCCAGTTTCCATGACAACCTGGGTCTGATGTCTTAAGCAAAGTGTTTTCACATCAGATAGGGAAAAAGGCACATCAGAAGCAGATCCTGCAGAGGTAGGGTAATGCTTTTTATCATGCCAATCTCCTTTTGGTGAAGCACAACTACATCTAACAATGCAAAACTCTTCCTTCCAGGGCAAATATGGGAGGAAATCTCTAAAGGGGTTCCTCTAGAAAGCAGATTCAAGTGGCCTCTCCCCAGACTGGTTTGGGAAAATATTTCCTTGGAGAAAAGTGGAAAAAACCCTGTTTATTTCACAGGCAAAGTATTCACCAGCACAGAAAACAACAACAAAACAAAAAAATTAAGAATATTAAATAATAAAACTTCTTGCCAATCTGAAGAGATGACAAACTCAAAAAGTCTCTTTGGTGGGCAGCAGCTCAGCTCACCCAGTCTGTTATCAGTCCCTCCAGTGCTGGAAATGCTGCAGACCTGGCCCAGCCCAGTGGGTCACAGGTGTGAGCTGCTGGTGCTCTTCTGGGTGTTCAGTCCAGAGTGGGTTTAAACAGTTCCAATAAAAAGAGAAACCACAGTCCAGGGAAATTCTCTGCCTCAGCTAGCTAAAAACTAACTAAAAAGCAAAGGAGAGCTCTCTCTCAGTGTCTGTGCTGCAGAAAACACAGTCCAGGAGAAGGATGCAAGGGAGCAAGTGCAGTTTCTGATAACAAACTCCACGCTTCTTCTCTCCCCAGCTTTGCTCTCAGAACCAGTCTTAAAAGTGTAAAACTTATTTCTGGGCTAAATAGACAAATGGGGATACAAGCATCATAAACTCATCCCAGAACAGGAGGCATGGGGGTGCTCACACCTAGGCCTGAGGGTGTTCCGTCTTTCTGATAAGGCACAACTGGCAAAACTATGCAGCTGTCAGAAGCAGGGCCAAACAGCAGTTGTGCTATTAGAAGGCAACATAAGCCATCAAAGATCCCTGAAGAACCAGTTACCCTGCTTCAAAGGCAGGTCAGAATAGCAGGCCTGAAAAAAGACGTAATTACAACACCGTTCCAGGAAAGGTTGGTTGAGGGCTGTAGAGAACTCAGATCTGCTCACAGCATATCTGCCTACAATCCAGTTAGGTGTTTTCACCTTTGGCTTGATGCAGCTCTGAAGTGCAGTAGGAGACCAGAGGGGATCTGTTTTGTCAGTGCCTCACTGAAGCAGGTAATGCATACAGACTTCCATTCTTGGTTATGAAAGTGGTGGTTGAGGGGGTGGGAAAATTAATATCCCTGTGAGACTGGCAGGTGAGGTTTCTGAGAGAGATGCTCTGTGCTGGAATGTAAATCTCCCATCCATGCAGGAGAAGAGGCTTGCCTGAGTGAGAAACTGGAAAAGGATTTTTATTCCTGCATCCTGGCCACCATCTGCTGTTCCTGATGGAAGGGGTAGGACAAGCTGACAAAAGACAGGACCTCTCTGCTACTGAAAAAGAGCATGTGTTTGCCCTTCTGCTACAGCCTAGACTGTGGCTGGGCTGTGAGTGGAGATGCCTGACCTGGAAGAGTCAGAGATGGGGGAGCATGTACAAGGCCTCTGCTGCTGGCAGAGCTGTGAAGGTGGCAGTTCTGGCAGAAAGGGAGGGAAAAACTGAAAGGGAGATTGAAGTTTTCAGCCACCTCTTGTATATCTGAGAGAAATGCTTACTGTCGACTTTTCTGAGGTGGCCACAGGCTGACTTGAGCTAAGCCTGGGAAGTGCTCATCTGCTCCCAGGCAGGAGGAAGAGAACAATTCAACATTCAATCAGTTCTTCAAAGAGATGGCACTGAACACCACAGGGAGGGTATGGATCCCAGATCCACTTTTCAGGCAGATGGATTGCATGTCTTGGCGCTCGGTAAAGGGGCTTTGTCCCACTAGCATATCCAGATCCTGTACAAGGAAACCTCCATGAATGCTCAGAGAGTACTAGATCCAAGATTTTAGATCCACTCAGTCTAGGCTGAGTGTTGTTTGCATCACCTGTCATAAAACTTGCAAGAGGAAGATCTTCTTCCTCTGTGCCTCATCCTCCACTCCTTCCACAAAACTATAGGATTAGAAAAAACATTCACCTAGATTCAGTAGAAAACCATTCAACTCCTTTTCACAAAGCAGCAGAGTACCCAGGAGTCACACAAATGTAGTTCCAGCAGAACAGGTGGGTGCAGTGTTTTCCAGAATACAGAACAAACGAGTGGTCTTCCCTCTCAAACTCTTTTTTTTTTTTTTTTTTTTTTTGCTGGAACCTAGACAGATTATCATCAATTGTCTGGCCAGAATGGGGTGGCAGAGAACTAATTTGGTCCCTGTGGTATGGCTGTAAAGATAAATGACACCTTTCCCACCCTACTTAGGAATTCTTCCTTATTTAAGAGGTATTACAAGGATAGCTTTCCTTCCTGAAGCCAGTTTTTGTTGACAGTATGGAAAGCATGGCTGGTCTCTCCTCCATAATCAGGATATGTAGTAGGTCACTCCTTATGAAAAAGACACACTACAATTCATCTGTAACTTAGTTTTGAGGAACATCTGCCCAACACCTGTAATGTTTAGAACATTTCACTAATGAGTCAGCACCAATTCCTCAGATCACAACATAGCTTGACAAGCCAGAATCAAAACTGACTGATCTTGCCACATGAAAGAAATGAGCAATAATCCACTGTGATAACAAAGCTGAAAGAAAGATGACAGAAACACAGAATTGTGATCAACAGCTCATAGTGCCTGCAGACCAGTGACAGGTGCTGTCCTTCTGGGGTCAGTGCTGGGGCTAATACTCTTCTGTCAGCAGCACGTACAGTAGGATCAAGGGCACCTTCTGCAAGTTTGGTGCCAACATCGAGCTCTGTGGAACAGTCAACACGCTGGCAGGCAGCAATGCCCTCCGGAGGGCCCTGGACAGGCTGGGAGTGGTGAGTCAAAGGGTTAAATTAGAAATGTAGTTAGCAAAGAACAAGGAAATTAATCAATACCAGGCGGGGATAACTGAAACAAGGTTGGGAAGGACAGGTGATATATGAAGTATTTTAAGAGTGCAGGAGCCATAAATACCACTGACTTCTAAGAATGAGAGGAGGTTTGGACTGTGACCAGCAGGCCAAGAAGCCCTGACAACTTGACAGACGAAGAGTTCACCTTGAGGAAGACTCTTACTTCCTCCCACGAAGACTACCAACCCAATTAAAGAGGACAATTGCACAGCCATAACAGATATTCAGTAATTATAATACTAGGTGAGAGCTCATGTTTATGTAATAAGCAACATAGAAACTGTCCTGGAAACTATTTGAATATGTAAAACTTTTTTTTTATAAATAGAGAGGAGTTTGTGACTTTTTTGCACATGCCTTTGGAAATGATTCCGCATGTGCCCAGCGCTGTAATAAACGCACCCTCTTTTCAACTTTAGTTAGTTGAAGAGTTGTCTGTCCGTTCTTCAGTGGGGGTGTGCAAACCCCATGGAGTTCAACAAGGGAAACTGCAGGGTCCTGTACCTGGGTTGTGGCAATCCCAGACACAGCTACAGGCTGAGTGGAGACTGACAGCAGCCCTGAGGAGAAGGACTCAGGGGTGATGGTTGATGAAAAACTTAACATGACCCAGCCATGGGCACTGCCAGCCCAGAAAGGCAACGGGATCCTGGGCTGAATCCAGAGCAGCGTGGGCAGCAGGGGAGGGAGGGGATTCTGCCCCTCTGCTCTGGTCTGCTCTGGTGAGAGCCCACCTGGAGTACTGTGAGCAGTTCCAGAGACCCAAACAGAAGTAGGACATGGAACATTCTGTCCCTATTTTTGCTACTGTTCTGTGAAATTCACTCAAAAAAATACCAACTGAAGTGTATTAAGTACTTTATTGATAGAGTATCACACAGAGTTCAAAAACCACTGGACAGCTCAGAACTTAGCCATGTATTTCCATGTGCAAAATTCAGATGAAATCTGTTTATTTCAGTATGGACTCTTCGCTTGCTAAAAGGAAGGAAAACACAAACATAGTTAGAACTATCAGCCACTCCCACGAAGAACTAAAACATGCAAATCATAGTGGAATCAAAGCCTATCTTTATGTAGTTTCCTTCTGGCTAATATATATGATTCCCTCTTCTGTTTATGCAACAGAATTGGAATTCACAGCTCTGGGGTGATGGCAAACTTTTACGTTTACTCAGTTGTAAAAGACGGTTTTCTGAATTGACAAGTCAAATGAGTCCAGAAAAAGCTACCACTACAGGTATGTCCATCTTTAAGGAACAATCTTCAGCAA